AGCTTAAATAAGTTTTATATATAGAATTTTTTTAACCAATCAGATTCATTTATTTTGCTCAAATGTGATTGGCTGGTCCTAAAATCCCCGAACAAATACAAAATACTAACCCTAGCCCTAGAACAAATAGAACAAATAAACTAATTAAAATTCCTTAAGTAAAACTTATATATAGTACTATATGGCCAATCAGATAACAGAACGTTACCCTTAAATCCTTGCCCTATTGAGATATAACCCTAAAAACCCTATTAAACCAAAAAAGGAAACTCTAAATTTCCTTATTTAGACCTTACAATGTACATTGTTCGATAAAAAAGGAAATTAATATTTCCTTTTTTGGAAAACAATGCATTATTTCCTTAAAAAGGATAAATTAATTTCCATAAAAGTTAATTTTTAATTTAACTTTTTAATTTAACCCTAATCCGTAACGGAATAAGTTATATTTCTATTTTTAGAAAATAAAAATAGATTCTAAATTAAAATCCGGTTTAATTTAAAAATATAACCAAATTAGAAAATTTATTTTTAGTACAAAGTTTTTATGTATGTTATTTATAGTTTAATTAAAAATTTAATTAATCGGATCGGAATTATGTTCCGTAATATAAATAAATAACCCTAAATGGAAATTAATAACAGAATTAATTAAATTAATTTAATTAAATGTTTATCCGTAATAAATTAAATGTATTACATGCATAAATTTAATTTGTACGATGTACAAATTAAGTAAATTTAATTAAAAATTAATTAATTGGTGTACGATTACTAATTATTATTACTAATCGTAATTATTTAATTAAATTTATTACTAAATTAGTATAACTAATTATAAATAATTAATTAACTTAATTAATAATTAATGTATTACTAATTTCGGGTTTCTTCTTTAAGTATATCCGAAGTTTTTCTATGAAAAACGTGTTGTTATTTGTGAGTTTATCTGATTTTAAAGGTATAAATAGGATGGCTTCGTGCTGAACGTTTTTGTCTTTAAATCTCTTAAACATTAGCTACTTCTAATTGAGGAGTCCCAAATAGGACGAAATTGATCTTAGATTGCTAGCTCGTTAGTAACCCTAACCCTAACCTTATATAGAAATGACCAAATTAAACCTAATCCCAGCCGATCTCGGCTGTAAATCTCGGCTACAAATCTCGGTTAATAATCTCAGCTGCTAATCTCGGCTGCTGATCTCGGCTGCTGATCTCGGCTGCTAATCTCGGCTGCTAATCTCGGCTGCTACTAATCTCGGCTGCTGCTAATCTCGGCTGCTAATCTCGGCACCAATTTCTTCAGAAATTAGTTATTTTTTTCTTCGTTATTTTACTAGTAGAAAATTTTATATAAAAGCATGTAGTTTTTTCCGCTGTATTTTTCTTTGCGAAATAACTGACGAGCTTTATAATAAAGTGAAAGTATACTATTAATAAACTTCGCATAAAATAACCCTAATCTTTAATAAAAAACTTATGTTCATTTATAAATAAATGTCTAACAAAATCTTTGATAATTACTTCAAAAATTTGGATAAAATACTCTCAATAAACGGAGAAATTACAAACTTACAGGCTAAATTAATAAATGAATTTGATAAACTTAAAGATTTAGATTCTACTAGCCCCGAATACGAAGAACTTTGTCTAAATATTGAAACCAATAATATAATACTTGTGAATCTGTTAGAAGAATATACCGATTTTATTAATATTAACACCATCGAAGGAGATAAATATATTGAAGAAAAGTTTAATCTCACAAATAATATAACTAAATACCTCCTAGAAATAAAGAAAAGATGACCTTCCGATACTCCATATAACCCTAATGCTAGAACATATTAATTTATATAAAGTCTTATATAAGTTTTATATATAGAATTTTATACATCTTTTTGACTATTTAATACTCAGAATTTTGTACTCTATCAACCTATTAACTTTGTTTTTTAGTTAATATGTAAAAAAAAAACTATAACCCTAACCCTAATCCTAGAACTTATAAGTTATTAATTTATATAAAGCTTTATATAAGTTTTATATATATAATTTTATACATCTTTTTGACTATTTAATACTCAGAATTTTGTGCTCTATCAGCCTATTGACTTTGTTTTTTAATTAATATGTAAAAAAAAAATCTATAACGCTAACCCTAACTCTAGAATATATAAGACTATTAATTTATATAAAGTCTTATATAAGTCTTATATATAGAATTTTATACATCTATTTGACCATTTAATGCTAAGAATTTTGTACTCTATCAGCCTATTAACTTTGTTTTTTAGTTAATATGTAAAAAAAAAAATCTATAA